TATATATATATATATATATATATATATATATATATATAATTTTTATATACCTTTCATGCATTTCATATTTTTGCATAAATTTATTTCTAGAAATTTGATAACTTTATTTAGTACATCCACATTGCAAACTACAAATATACAACTTTGCTAGACATGCTGATGTAGGGCCCACAGCGGTCTGTCAGAGAAGAGAGTAAGGTCTGTGTAAGCCTTTCCTTAGTAATTTTGCACATACCAATTAATGGTAAAGAAAGAAAAAAATTGTAATTATTCTAACTGAACCTGATTACAGGTCTACAGTAATTTTTTGTCACTCTGTCCTAATTTTTTTCTCCTGTTGTTTTTGATTTGGCACTGAAAAGGTGAAAAGTGACTGGGAGAAAGTTTGAGACAGATGCTCCTTTGACTGCATTTTTGTACATATTTACTTAGGCATTAGCCTCTTTGAAATTTGTGGGACTTGCTTCTCAGTAAATTTTTATAGGATCTAAATTTGCATTTGTGAAGGTAGAGTGGTAGATACAATTTTTTTATCTTTCCCCCTTCTTTCTAGTTGTCTCACCTGGACTCATACCTTCTACTTGAAGAACAGGTGGCAGCTGTAGCCAGAAGGGCTCGTTACAACTGTTTATTGTGCAATAATTGTTCCCATACAAGTAGCAGCTAATGGTTGCTCATACCTCGTCATCTCCTAATTGTACCATTGCAATACACTGTATGTGGGGCTGAAAGAAAGCATAGGAAAGATTCAGTTGGTCCAGAATGCAGTGGTATGGGTGCACTTCAATAAGTCCTGTAACACTGCTGTAATGTTGGTCCAGAATGCACTGCTTCTGTTAGATTTCTGGATATGATTCAAAGTGTTGCTTATCGCCTTTAAAGCCATACATGGCACAGGGCCAAGATTTTTTGAAGGACACCTTCTAAGAACATCTGCCTGTCCCAAATGCTCCCACAGGTGACATGCTCCAGGCTTCTTTTAAATCTTGAAATCTTCTGGACCTAGAAAGCATGCCTTTTCTGCAGTTGCTTCTGTTCTCTGGAATGAAACCTACCTCCGTATACTGTATGATAGGCCCCAATTTTGCATGACTTTAAGAAAACCATTAAGACTTGGCTCCCCACCCCCCACCCCAAGCATTAGTGGAGTCCTCTTAATATATATTTTTTGGTGTTTGGTGGTAGTTTATGTTTGTATTTTATATTTTTATATCACATAGCTTTTAATGTTACTGATAGATATGTGTAGTGGTCTTGTTATTATTGTTGTTGCTGTTGTTGTACAACCCAAAGTCACATTGTTTGATTTGGATGATGTTATAAATCTAATAAACAGAAAAACATACTGCACAGAAATTTGGGAACCCTTATGAATCAAAAACTTTCCTCTTTCAAAGTTGAAAGTTCCTAAATGTCTCTTTGCTATTTAAATACTTATTTGTTGCTACATACTCCTCTATTGTGGCAGATGAGGGGATGTTGGGGAATTCTTGTTTTCTTGGAAAGCATATGCATTTCAGTTACTGTTGCAACACTATAGAGATAGAGATACTGTACAGAGATAGATAGAGTATTGCATGGTATATGTATGTATGTATGAATACAAAATGATATACATAATGATATATATGACTGTATTTGCGTCTTTTGACAAAAGTAGGTCTAAAAGTACATAACACTTCAACGAGACAGGGAGATAGTGAAAGGGCAGAAGAAATTGAGGAATGGGTCAGAAGAGGGATGGATATTATGTCAGTTGCACATAATTGTCCTACTTAAATAAGGTACAGAGTCTAAGTTAGGATGAATTCCTTGTGTCCTGTAAGCAACAGGTGGCCTCCAATCTTTTTCTTTATACTCTTGGGTAGTATCCTAAGACTGTGCTCCTGAATTGTAGTCACATAGTTTTACAAATTCAAAGGAAACATGTTTGAAGGTGCATTATCTGCAGTGGCTTAATGTACCAATTTTTTTAACCCATTGCAGAGAGAGTGTAAAACTGTAAATTTAATTCCTACTCTTTCAGATAATGTTGCTGTTTAAAATTCCTCATAAGAAAATGTATATTTCCAGGCACCAAAGCGATGTCTGCTCCTGAACTTTATCCAGAAAAAGTAGATTTTGAAGAGAATTTCCATGAAGGTGTTCTGGCAAAAATTCCATATTTTATAAAAGGAAATGTATATTATCCAGTTGTGTGATAAAACCACAAATTTACATCTCTATCCCTGATAAAGAAAAACTACCATGTGCTTTGTCCATATCAAAATCATCATTCTTAAGAGAGTTATCAGACTATGGACCACTTCCTTGGGTCTGATCTGCCAAAAATCTGATTCTGTTTCTTACTATTATAATATAATAGTAATAATTCAATTCACATTTTTAGTGTGTGAAAATTATAATTTTCCTATTTATTCACATTTTTATAAAGAAAAAATACCGCTGAAATGAATCACCAAGGATATGTTGCAGCACCTCCATATTCCCAGGCCCAGCCAGGAATGGGAGGATTTTCTTCTGGCTTTGGACAAACAGTTTCTTCACCTCTGCATGGACATTATAATGATCCAAATCCAGCACCTTTTACATCTCAGTCAGGTATAGTTACTTCATGTTGTATTTTGGATCTTTCTAAAAATAATGGGTTGTGATTTTCCAGATTCTCAGCCAGGACAAAGTTTGAGGGGAATTCTGGACGTAATGAGTTGGGGAAAAAGTGTTCATTATCATTAAACCAACTAAAAATAGAATAGATAAAGGTTTATCATGGTCTGTGGACTCAGATTCCATGTGATTCAGCATTTTAAACCCTGGGGAAAAAACCCAATACTTATGGATTTCTTTCACTGAGGTCTTTGTCCCTTTTTTGTTTAGTTTCCCCCTGGCCTTCCTGTCCCCTCCTCAGGCTGGCTGAGCCCCTAACTCCCAAAGCCAGACCTGGACGGAGGAAGTTCTCCCCTCCAATCCTCTCCTGGGTCTCCAGAGGGCTGGTGGGGAGGGAGAAACTAGAGGGGGAGGGTCACAGAGGGAGGGGGCAGCAGAAGGAGACCCAATGGGCTTTCCCCCCACAGACGGAGGTCATATTTCCTATAAAGTTAACTTTTTAAAAGCTTAATGCTTTCTTTTCTTTCCTAATACTGATATAAATGGAAGACACTGAATAATTTGGATTTTATTTAATTAAGTTTATTAATGTATTTCTTTGACATACATTATTTACGCTTTGTCTTTTTCCATTGTTATCAATATGTTTACTTTTCCTTTAGGTATATTGAAAACAAATGTGCCTTTTGGAGTTCCTTCGGTCATGGGATCTCCACCTCAGAGCCTCCACCCACCTAAGCAGAGTAATTTCCAGAATGGACCCAGCACTGCAGCAGCTCAACAGCTACACAGGTGATTTAAAACAAAGTTTTAAGCACCAGGAGACTGGAGTTCTAGTCCTGCGTAGGTATGAAAGCCAATTGGGTGACTTTGGGCCAATCACCAGGAGAGTGAGTTCCAGTCCCGCCTTAACCATGAAAGCCAGCTGAATGGAAAGCATTAGGAATATTCCCAAAGGTGCTTTTTCAAGAGGCAAGTGGACTTTCTTGTTTTTCTTTTAATATGTTTCGCGTCTGATCCAAGAAGCTTTTTCAGTACTGAACTGACGAAGCTTCTTGGATGAGAAGCGAAACATCTTCAAAGAAAAACAAGAAAGTCCACTTGCCTCTTGAAAAAGCACCTTTGGGACAAACATTAACCTGAATAACTGAGAATCTCCATAGACATTAGGAATATTTTTTATGCTTTTGAGGGCTGCATGGAGCTTTTAATGAAATTCTTTGCTCATGTGACATGAAGCTGGCTTAGAAGTTCCAGGATGCGCCTTCATTAAAGTTTTGGTTTATGCCAGCTGTCCTTCCAGAAATGCCTTTTGTGCAGAGACATACATGTTCAGAAAATTATGGGGTGGTTGGGCTGCAGAGTAGGGTACACTAAGCCTTCAAAGGGCTGGTGGTTGCTTTGTGTTTTTGCACGGTAGATCCAAAAATACTTTTAAAAGATTGGAGTTCTATGATACATCCATTCCTGAAAGCATTTTGTTAATATTTATCAGAAACCTGTTTTGTAAATTCAGCAAGCCGTGCTCAGTCCATGATGTGATGTAAGCAGTATCTACCTTCCTTTGGCAGTATGATCTTGCACAATTTTACATGCTCTTTGGTCTGGCAAAAGCTCTATTTCTCATATGCTGTGTAAGCAGCATGGAAGGAACCAAACTATTCTCTGTGCAGAATTCCAACTTAAAGAAGCACCCCCAAAGGGTAATTCATCCCTGGTTCAGCATATAGAGGAACTTACCACCTCCTTTAAGAGAGCAGTGGCTCAGTGGCTAAGATGCTGAGCTTTCGATCAGAAAGGTCGCCAGCTCGGTGGTTCGAATCCCTAGCACTGCATATTGGAGTGAGCTCCCATTATTGTACAAGCTTCTGCCAACCTAGCAATTCAAAAGCAGGTAAAAATGCAAGTAGAAAAATAGGAATCATCTTTGGTGGGAAGGTAACAGGGTTCCGTGTGCCTTCGGCATTTAGTCATGCCAGCCACATGATCACAGAGATATCTTTGGATACGGCTGGCTCTTCGGCTTTGAAATGGAGATGAGCACCGCCTCCTAGAGTCAGGAACAACTGGCACATATGTGTGAGGGAACCTTTACCTTTACCACCTCCTTAACAATTGATTCCACTATAAAATTGCTCTAATTATTATGAAGATTTTCTTAATATTCATCTGGAATCTGCTTAAAAACATTATTCCAAATGCAGGAACAATAGAGTATAAGTCTTTTACTTGTATGATATGACTTTCTCGATTAGAAGACTACCATCATATTTGTTCTAGTACTTCTCTTCTCAAGGCTAAATATAAACAACTCTTGTCAATATTTTCAGATTGGATTTGCCATCTAACTTTTTCACCATATTATTACTGTTTTAAGAGTTTACGCCAGTTTATCTCAGTCTTAAAGTAGGAGGACACAAATGGAATAGAATACTTGAAGTAATATCTAACTGATGAGAACACAATGGAACTAATACTTTCTGTCAATTGGAAGCATACTTATGTTGGGTATCACTAAACTTTGATTTTACAAACTTTAATACAATGAAATTTGAATATAACAGTCATATTTTGTTAGAATTTATGTTGTATAATATTATGTATCTAACATATATGGTAAAGTCAATATAAATACATTTGTGCCAATTGATATCAGTTGCATAATGACAATGTAATGCGAATAATGTAATCTGCATTACTATAATGACATACCCATTGATTTACTGAACTTTGGGGAAAAACAGAGACTCTTCTCCCCAATTTGTTTACTAAAATGAGATTTTTTATTATATTACATATGCTAAGGACACATGGTAAGATAGTCTTTTTGAAAAATATATCATTTTTGTACTTCTAGTATATTGATAAAGAAGTGCCTCTATAAATTGGATTAACCAAAAGGAAAAGCCTAATTCTTTTACTATTGTATCAAGCAGTTATTTTAATTAGAATCCAAGGCCTAATTTAATCCATATGTTTTGAGCAGCCATAATGCAGAACATATTCTGTGGGCAGAGAATCGCCTTTGACCTTTATGTTCAACTTAAAAGATCAAAGCTGAAGGTCTGTGAGCCATGAGATGAGATTTAATCTATTTCAATTCCTTTTTGTTTCTTAGTCATTAAATGAGCAGTGTATGCAAGAATTAATAATGTCGTATTTTGCAGAAGTTGTTAAGTTACTTATGCATGACTTTGATAAATCATTTTTGAATAAGGCAAATTATTCTAATTGAGCTGCCTACTAATTGAAATTCTTCTTCTCTGACCCTATTACTTTTTGCTTTGTTTAAGCCAGTTTTAAGTTTTAAGGAAAAATACGCTTAGTATTTATGTTGTATTTCATTATTAATTATTTCACTTATTTTTGTTTCAAGATTTGAAACCAAAGGGAGAGAAAATTCTCTTTATTAAGATAACTTAATAAAACATGTTTGCTAATATGGATTAAAAGAGAGAAGGAAAGATTTTTAGACTTAAGTCGTACTTTTTAGAAAGTAAAATTCACGCTAACCACAGTGTTCTTCATATTGGGATTCTGCATCATGCAAAGTTACAATGAGAATGTTTGGTCTTAGTTTAGCAAATTCTATAAATCCTGTCATTATGATTTGTAAACTATAGCTTAGGGCAGGGATGGCGAACCTTTTAGACACTGAGTGCCCAAACTGCACACATGCACATGCCCAATCTGAAAGGTGTGCACATGTGCAAACATGCACATGCATGCACGGACATGTGCACATAGTCAGCAGAGACCCGAAGACTAGCTGGCTGACGGGAGGTGGGGCATCCCAACACCAGCAGTGTGGCAAGAGGTAAGATCTTTTTCTTTTGTGAGTTCTGTTTCATTGTTTGCAGGCAAACAGAAGCTTACGAAAAAAAATGCTACAGTGATCTGACTTGGGGCAATGGCACGTGTGCCAGCAGAGAGGGCTCTACGTGCCCACTGTGGTACACGTGCCCTAGGTTCATCATCACGGGCTAGGGCTTAGTCCAGTCTTAAACTAATCAAATTGTGCCTGACTTACGTGAAATAGTTTTCACTTTGCACAGTCTACTGCATTCTGTATACATAAGGTTGTATGTTTTGCCTTTATAAATTAGAAAAAAAATTGCAAAGGAAAATGATGACCAAAAATGAAGGAGCAGAAAGAATAAGGCAAAAAGAGAACTTTAAATATAGAATTATTCATAATGTTTGTAGTTCATGGTTGTGTTTCATAGGGAATATTAACTTTTTGCAAATGGAGATCATTTGCATTAGATTGGATTTAATTGCAAAGCACCCATTTCAATTTAAGTGTTTTGCAATGTGAAAAAAGTATTCCAAGTATTCTCTTCCCGGCTGTTTAGGTTGGAAATGAATTTTGGTAAGACTGCTTCCAACTATTCAGTCTCCTAATAAAAATGGTTCTAATCATCTCAGCTCATCTCTATTGTGTTTGTAAAGAATAATGTAGCAATGGAAGCCCTTTTTTAGGAAATAAATTTCAGTTGTGCAAAATGATTCTAGCAATTGACTGTGCCTGGGTATTCATAAATTGTATTTTATTTTCCTGAGAATGAGCCTTGATGAACTTAGGACTTAAACTCTATTACTGCTGAGCAGTCAAACCTTGACATTTGATTAGCTGCAGCTTAGTATTAAGTAATTTTTAAAAACCTGATTAATATCAATGAGTGCTTTATTGAAACAACCCAGCTGTATCTAATTTTGTTTCCCAGTAAGCCACAGTAAAGTTTAACCATAGTTTATATGGGTTCAGTCATAATGATAAACTGTTATTACTAGAAGGGGAAGAAAACCTCTTATTTTGAAAGTGCCTAGAAAAAAAATAAAAGGGACAAATAATATATCTGAGGATGGCTCATCTAGAATTGTTCCCCTATAAATAATAATTAGGAAGTTGCTGTACAGCATGTGATGAGTAACCTGCTACAGACAAAGCCTCTTTTTGGTTTCCTAGACATTTTATGTGTGGTATTTTCTCTGCAGAATCTACAGGAATGATTCATGCGCATCTTGGCTGATACGTTTTATGAGCAATATAATATACTGTATTGTGATTTCCTGACTTTCTATAATGTTATTTTTTGTTTTCAGATTGCCAGGTCCCCCAGCTTCTTATCCTTCCTACCATCATTCTTTACAGTCTGGTCCTAACAACCCCCCTCTGCCTGCAGTACAGCTGACAAATCAGCTTGGTAACATGCAGATAAGTAGTTATGGTATGAATTGCATAATCCATAAAAGGTTTTTATTTTTATTTTTTATTTTTTTTATTCAGTATAAAAACTAGAAGGAGAAAGTCAACATAAAATAAAATCTTTTAAAAATAATAGATATTACATATAATTATTTATTCATATTTATACATATATAAAACATTATATATTAGCATTTCAGTGAATGATGATCCTATTTCATTATAAGTATCCATAATCTATCTATTCCTTTATAAATTGCCAAAACATCAACTTTGCAAATCACTGGATAGTTACTGACTATGTATTGGTTTGTTTTAATATGAATTGGATTTAAATAAGCCTAGCATAGAAACACTAATTCCATGGAGTTCCATGGATCTCAATGGTTAGATCCAGATTGAATTGGCTAGAAACAAAATTAATTCAATGTGGATCTAACCATTGGGTCCAATTGTTGCAAGTGGATTTTTGCTTATATTAAGGGCTTTCAATTGGACATTCCTGCACCATCACAAAAAGTAGTAGAGCAAGGAGATGGGATGAGTGTATAATAACACAGGGAATTTGTGATCAGAAGCCTGGAAATGAGCATTTTACATTGCACAGATTTTACATCGACTGGTTATCATATACATGTCATCTACAGGTGGTATGAAAATACTTAGACAAACCATATAGTATGGTTAAGTCAATATAGTTTTTCTGGGATTATAACTTTTCCTGCCTTAAAAATACTTAAAAGAATTAAGATGATTTATTCTACTGTTCATTTAAACATATTTTTGGTGAAGGCAAAGATCTGATAGTTCGAAAGCTTATTGGATGCTTCCAAATAATATCAATTCCCAGTACTAATGGCATGTGTAATATGAGTAAATGAATAAATACCTGGATCATGGATTTTAAAGTTACCTTCATAATCTTACTTTGATACAAGATTCCTAATACAAATTTTAACCAATTGTAAATCTATTTTAAGCAATTTTGTCAAAATCAGAGTTATTTATTCATTGGATAAAAGGGTGCTCATTTTTACAAATTTCATAAAGCAGTGACGTGCAGTCAGGGGAGGCAGAGCCTCACCACTGTCATCATGAAAAAAAATGTAAAAGGAAAAAGGCTGAGGTAGTTGCTGCCAGAGTCACAGTGGATGACTCTGCTTAGTGCTTACCTCTTTAAAAAAGCCTCTAAAAAGTGCCCTCTGTAGAAGGAGGCAGGAGAACCACGTGCCTCATTTAGTCTGACTTTATGATCACTCGAGCAGAGCTAAGCAAGGGTTAAAAGCCGTAAAATTTCTGACATAGATGAGGCACGTGGTTCTCCCACATCCTCCTGTAAAGGGCACTTTTTTAGAGGCTTTTTAAAACAGTTAAGCACTA